AAAACACACATGATGTACATTCATGAAAATGCTTAGAAATTTTTGAAAAGTGCCCATAAAATCTTGACAATTATCATTAAGACTCAATTACACATTATTTACATTTTCTAGTTTATAAATTCCTACATTTTTAACAAAGATTATAAGTTATTTTAGTAATCACAATCAACAGCTGAATAATTTCAATTAAAATATACTGCATGGATGAAGCATTAATTTAATATGCTACTCATGGAATATGAGTCATTTGAATTTCTATTTTAACACTTGGGATTTGGAAAGTCTATTTTTTGGTGTTTTGTTTTTCAATTATACCTTACACCCAAGAGACAAATATACAGTTTAAATGGAAATAATCAACTGGAAATTCAGGATAGCTACTTTCACCAAGTCTTTTTTCTATCTATAATTTATTAATAATCCTGTGATAAATATGCTCTGAAAAACGGTATATAGCACACAAATTTATGTATATTTTTGTCAAAACTAAGAAAGGTGAACACATTAACATCAGTTACACTAGTAGAATCATGGTAATTTTTTCTTTTGTTTCCTTGATTTTGGAAGAAAAAATGCAAGAGATACAATTAATATTTTAATATACAAAAATAAATATGATAACAAGGATGCTTTAGAAACACAGTAAATTAATTAAGTAAAAACATTCAAAAATGTACAAAAAAATTAAAAGAAGATATACATGGGCAACTTAAACTGGACTACCTCTCTATTTGTTGTTTTCCAGGGATATATTTAGGTACCAACACTGTAAAATGGAAAAAGTTACCTTGAAAAGAGAAGGAAGGTAATTTTCACAGTGTGAATCTGTTTCCAGTTGCCTTGATCACATATTAAAAATCCTTTTATGTTGCCACCAGACATCTCCAAGGAATATCCAGAGCCTTTTTCTATGGGTTCACTGGGAGAGCTGGTCTGGACATCCCATGGATTGCTCAACTTAGAATTCAGTAGGAGGCATTCCTTATGGAATCAATCATCTCTCTGATGGACAATGTTTGCACTGTGACAAACACATTTCAAAGGCTATTATATTCTACACCTAAGGGAAAAATAGATTAACATATAAATACATGATGGGTGGAGATAGCAACTTTGCTGCATCTACAGATACATAATATCTTTTAATGGTGATGATCAGAATATGCAACGTACTCTAATATTAACATGATATGGGAAGCAGAGAGCAAATAAAAGTTTAAGAAATTTTAAAGACTTAAGAATGCATTACAATAGTTAGTCTTGACAGACCATTCTTAGAGGTGTCCAAATTCCTGAAAATGTCCAAATTCCTTTCCAAATGCTGCAAATCCCTCTAGTAAAAAAAAAAATAGTATGAATTTTTCATTTCTCAAAAGAAAACAAAACATACTTGTGAGTAATTTTCCTTTGTTTCTCTTTGAACCCTATTTACAGACTTTATAGAGAAGGAACATTATCTTTATCTCTATCTCTACCTTTATCTCTATCCAGAGCTCCTTCTTCCAGAGATGTCAATATTAGGTTGACTTTAAAGATAATCAGACCTAGTATCTCCCATTCAGATGAGAGAATGTTACGAAGTTTAAAGTAGACAAATATATGATAAATGCCAGGGTAATTAAGGAAAGTCAAATATTAGACAAAAATTTAAAGAGCTTTGTGTTTCAAAAGGAAATGTCTTCTATTAAATAGATTAAATGTCTTTTATTAAGTGTCTTCTATTAAATAGACTGATACAGGTTGACTTTGTTGTTCAACCTTTATTTATTTATTTTTCAGTACAGGAAAATAAAAAGTACTTTGATCCCAGGACCTCAAGCATGGTAGGCAAATACCAATTGAGCTACATGTCCATCTCTTTTAATATTTTTTTTTTCTTGAGAGAGGGACTCATTAAGTTTCTTAGGCTGAACTTGAAGTTTTGATTCTCCTTCCTCAATCTTCCAAGTATCTGTGACTATAGATATACAACATCACACCCAGTTAACATTGTTTTTCCTTTTTATGTATAGTTTCATCTGCCCCCTAGTGTATCTAATCCCAAAACTTGAGGCTATGCCTCAATTTTTTGTGTTTCCAGAATCTTTGCTATAATGGACTTCTAGTAAATATTTGTTGAATATATTTTGCCAAGGTGTGAAGTTTAGTTTACATTTAACTGTCATAAAGTGGTTTCTTAGTCTGTAAAAAAAAAAAAAAACAAAAAAATGAAACTAGGGGATTTTGAATTAGAATTCTGGAGCCTTTGCATGTCCTCAAGCCAGCTCTGGTCACTGATGGCAAACCCCAATAAACAGACCTGGGCTTCTCACAGATTCCTTCCAGAGCAAGTCTTCATCATTCTGTCTCAGTTATGCATTCATAGTATTTAATTTGAAACAGGATATATTTATAATCATACACATTATCATTGGAAATTACTGAAAATGATGATTCTATTATCCTTCTCACCTCTAAACTATTATGATTCAATTGCCACTTTCTATTTGAAAACACAATTGAACGTATTGTTTTATTGACATTAATTAGGTTTTATTCATCTGGAATGCCTATAAATTTGCTTGTGGCAAAAAATTTGTTCTATTTTTTTACTAAACTCATTGAAATTCAGTACATCCTGTGCTATCTTTGTTACCAGTAGAAATTACAGATATTTTTGTACATCATGGAGTTTGTGGGAGATCTCACAAATTAGGATCCATAATCACTGCTGCTTTGAAATTATATATTATTAGCTCTTCTTGGATCTTTATATTTACTTTTATGAAGAAAACATATGTATTACCTTAGTTTATTTTAAAATATTTTGATAACTATATTTGATGATGATTAGCTGTCTGTCTTTTAAAATTTTCAGACATTTAAAGATATTCTGAGAAAAGGCCTATAGAGTGACCACACAGTGATCATGCTTCAGAAGCAACAGCTAATAATTATTACTTATATGGAATAAGCAGGTCTAGGGTCATAGGTCCTGTCTGCACTGTAAGCTATAGACCTTAGCATCTGTCTCTGTTTGGCAAAGACTAAAGCCATTTACCCCCTGTGTCTTAAATTCAGTTTCTGTGTATCATTTCACTTTAAAAAGTCACAATTACATCTCCTCCCTAAAACAGGAAACTGCATTATGCCATCCTTTTCCTTTGTCATATCTGTTTATTTTATTTTATTTTTTGTGGTTGCCCTACTTAAATTCAGCACTTAGATGCTCTTCTGATCACATTGTTTTTGCCTGTCAAGGATCCCTTTTCCTGCTGCTTGTACCCATTGGGAAGACTGATGTTCTTTTGACCCATCTAGAACTGATGTAACCTAATTCTGAGATTCTAACAGGAAAAGTCTCATTTCCCAGCCTCATTTCTAAGAGAGAAGGATGTACACCACGGGCTCTCCAGTCATCTTTCCAGCCAGGGGAAAGGAGAACCCCACCTTCCTGAGCATGAGACAGGAGAAAGCAGCTGAGACAGGAGAGGAAAAAAACAAACTATAACAACAACAAAACTAAGGCACTGAAGATATAATTTAAAGGCACAACTTAAAGATTTGCCTGAAATTAATTCTAGCCCAGGCCACTCCAATTGGGAGAGTTACCAACTCCATCTCTAACCCAAGCCATTTTGAGTTGCTTATATCAAAAAGAACAAGAATCTTGATAGAAGTTATAAAACAGGTTTAGCTATCTAATGCCTTTAAAAGGAAAAATAATTTTAATGATATTATAATTCATTCATTTAATAATAATAAAGTCAATGGCTGTAATATAACCTTTTGTGGACCTGTGTGATATAAAACCCTGTATACATGCTTAATATCAATCATAACCATGGATACTATCAATCATTTTACAGAGGAGTGATTTACTTCAGGTATTAAGTAAGCTGTCTAAATCTATAAAGAAGAAGTGTTACATTTTCCGTTCGCTGGACTCAAACGTCTGTGTTTTTTTCCACTATGCATTCTGAAAACAAAACAGAGCTTCTCTACTAGTATAAAATAAACATGAACAGCACGTGATCAAAAACACCTTACTGTGTAACTGGGCAAACACAAATGCTCCTCTCTCCTGACTCTATCTTTTCCTAATTTCTTGCCAAAGCAGCATTTTATATTCCCTAATGCATTACAGAAATGGCTCAGGGTGACTTAAAATCAGAAGCTTCATGACACGGGCGTGGGGAAAAGCCTGGGTGGAGGGAGATGATGTGCTCTAGGCTTAGGTGAGGAAGAGCAGTATCAAAGAAGATGTGAGACAAACAATATCCCGCATCAGAGCTAGAAGAGTTGTCAAGTGTGAACACAGATGTGAATGATTACCTTCCCAGAGGAACAGAGGACTTCTGCATCATTGTGAGAGATCACTTTTTTACAGCGTAGCTGTATTTGAAGAGTGGGAGAAACTGTGATTAAAGTGACAAAATTTCTAAACACACTGGGGTTTACGGAACATGGAGCAAAACTTTCCTCATTTAGGAAGATGAGGTAAACCAGTCTTATACTGCGGGAACTTGAATTTCCTGTAATTTTTCAGGACTGCTTATGTCTTTTTTCCTTGAGCATGTCCTCCAACTACATGAAATCATTTCCATAACTGAGATGGAAACTGAATGAGCTCAAATGTCTTGGAAAATCTTGGGTCGTATTTGGGAGATTTTTACACAGTTTAATATCCCAGCTGAAGAAAAAAAAAAAAAAACTGCTTTCTCACGAATGTGCAGAGTATATATCATTTCCCTTATTATTGGTTTGTGGGCTTTCTTGGAAGCATAATATCCAGGATTAGCATTCTCAGGAGAATAATTGAATTTGAATATAATTAGGAAAGTTCACAGCTCAGGAAAGATTGGTGAGGAAATAGTGACATAGGAAGTTGACTTGAATTAGTAATGTTCTTAGTACACACGACAGAAGCTGAAACCTTATTTAGGACAGTTTCTGTTAGGACGTGGCTGGAATAAGTATTTGTGCCTTTCCTCCAGGTGAACAGCCCCAAGTCATCCGGCATGATAGTGCTCATTTTACTGGGTAAGTGAATGGCGCTTCTGGTTTATCTGAACTCATTGTAGTACTAATTATTTGCAAACTGAATATAGTCCCATGTGACTTAAGCTTAACGGGGTTTATAATGTAGAATACCAATTACACGACACATTTATGTTTCAGCATCGTTCATCACTGACAAAAATGTACAGTTCTTTTATTTATTTATTTCTAACTTGATAGAAAATGAATAATATAAGAATTGCATTAATCATTCTGGTTGTTTCTGTTTAATTGTACAATAATCCAATAACTTTGAGTTATTTACCAGGATTTTATGAAATTCATGTAAGTCCTAGAGTCTTTAAAAAGAAATGAAACCTTCCAGTATCTATTTACAAGTTATAAGATAAATTTTGAATTATTATCTATTTTATTTTAAAATTAAATTAAAAATTTTAATTTAAACCACTCATTTTCTCTAATTTTAAAATCTTAATATTACTGATTCACTTAGTAGAATAAAACAACACCACATTAAGTGCTTCACATTTTGATCAAATTTAATGACCTAAGTATGGAATTGCCTCTCCTATATTACATCCTATGACTATATTGTAGGAGGATGATGAAAATGAATTCATCTGTGTTTAATGTAGAATCAATAACAATCTACTTGTTTTGTGTGTTATTGGAGTTTTTCTATCTTCTCCAGTGTTGAGTGAAACTTATAAATTAAATTCAGGAAAGTGATAGTTGTAATTATAGCTGGATATATATATGTAATTATAGCCAGGGTATTTTCTGTTTACTCTAAGCTAATAGATATTGATGAACAAAAGTATAACTGTGGACAAGAAAATAAAGAACTTTATTTCAAATTGTGTTAAACTTTAAAAGGAGAGTCAAACTAAATTGAATCAAAGATAATTCAAGAAGGAAAGGAATCCTTAATATATTTTCAGTCTTTCTTTGTATTAAATAACAGTTCTATTATGTGAGGCATTCTTCTTATTATTAATTTTAAAATAGAATCTAATTTTCACTGAGCAATTCAGGAGAATTTTTGAAAAATCTTGAGTTAAATATAGAGTCACAAATTTTAAGAAGGAATAAGACATATTTTAGAAAGATAATTATGTTTTGGGGTGTTGCGGGCCAAATAATCAGTATGGTTTCTTTAATTAACTCAGTATTGTATTTGAGTGGAAGATATGAAAAAATCATGTAAAATAATCAATTAAGTGTATTATTCAACCAAAATTTGAAAATGTCAAAGGAGGTGAAGTAGATTTAGGAATGATATTATGTAGAATTCATAAATTATCATTTAGCAGAGGTACTGGGGATGTTTTGATGATATATTCAGGATCATCACCTGTAAATTTCTTGAAGTAACCATTTAAAAGACAGATGATAAATGGCAAAATGCCAGTTTCTTATAAGTTACATTTTTGACATAAAATCCCCATATGAGGGTTTTTGAAAACTGGATTAATCCAAGTAAATTTTCACCAGAATCAAAAACACCCTTTTTATCTAGGCTAGCCAAGTTAAGAGCACAGGGGTTTAGCTAGATGAGGTTGTTCCTGAACACTTGAAAATAATAGAAAGCTGACAATGTCGATTTCCACTCTAGCCCTCAAAAAGAAAAATGTCACCAAGCCACACCCATGTGCCTAATCTCCAAATGCAGTGACCCAGCAAGTAGTACATATAGTCAAATCAGTTGTCTTGGTATCTTCTTAGGAAGCAAGGTTTCAAAAGAGGTAAGACAGCAGAAAAGATTTCAAGGCTTTACTTCAAGCCTATAACTCTATATTGTCACAGGTGGTTCATAATTAATATCATCTTTATAAATATTCAAATTCAAATGTGATTAAAATGTAGCTTAAAGTTAATATAACTATAAATCAATTGTAGTCTCCATGTTTTTCTATAAATTTATTAAGCAAGTGTTGGTTTGCATTGTTGTCAAATGAACTTGAATTGCTTTTATAACATATTAAATTAGCATTGGCATCTCTTGATTGCCTTTGGAAAACTTTCTGAAACCATTTCTCCTCCTCTAAGAATAACTTGTAAATATTTGGAAGGTGTTGTTTTGATTAGATGTTATTTATTTATGTATTACTGACCTATAAACAACTGTTTTGTTTGAAACAACATGCATTTATTGAATATCTTGGGATAAAACTAAAAATGAACTCCAGTGCTACCCAATAAAACCCTAGAACTCAGTGATGAAAAGAAGCACATGAACACACACTAGAGAGAGGTGAAATCGACAATCAGGGAATTCTCAGGATTCTAGAATAACAAGTAAAGGGTGTCAATTTAATTTGGGTGTAGGGAAAGGATGGTATAGCATTCAGAGAAAGATTCCTTAAAACAGGTAAAGATTATGGTCAATCTGAAAGGACAAAGAGAGTTACTCAGAAGAAAACAATTGAATATTTATAGGGATGGCACAGTAAATCCTCAGAGATGTAAAACAGCATGGGACTTTTGGAAAATTATAAATTCTTGTGGATTTCCAGATTGTGAGTGGTGAGAAATCTGGAACATCTCATAAGGAGCCACCCAAAAGGTCTAAGTAGAGAAATTGCAATACTAGAATGGTGCATTAGGTAGATTAGGAGGTGTAAAGAATATATCTGAATAAGATAAAACTGGAGCCAGACAGACCAATGAAAGTGTTAATCAAATGCTCTAAGTGAGAGTCAATTTTTGTAAGAAGAGATGTGCAAGAGTAAAACTGAGGATATGCAAGGAATTTATCATGAATGTACGATTTCTGGTTTGGGTGCCTCTGATAATGTTGTCGTTGCTTATGGTCCACTAGGAAATAGTGATGAAAAGGACAATGTTAGAGAAATTATAGTTTCAAACATTCAGATAGAGGAAACTATTTTCTATCTGTGGCTATAATATTGGAAAATATTGGTTTGAATCACATTTTTGAGCATCATTGGCCTAGATAATTTTTTCTTTCTTCTTCTTCTTCTTTTTTTTTTTTTTTGTGTTTGTGTGTGTATGGTGCTCGGGCTTGAACCCAGGGCCTTGTGCAACTCTACCAACTGAGCTATATCCCCAGCCTAGCCTAGGGAATTTAGTTCAAACTGAGAGAGCATAGAATTGTCCACAGAGAATGCATAAGATGAGAATAGGAAAGGTCCAAGGACAGAACCTAAGTGAAAATACATTTTAACAGAAGATCAAGGTAAATCTAGGAGAGATTCACTATGGCCAGAATATATTGATTGGATAAATATCAAGACAATCAATAAAAGTGTTGCCAAAGAAAGACAATCCCAAAACAAATACATCAAAAAAAATGACTAATGGTCAAAAGAGTTCAGATAAAGTCTTAAATCTATTAAATTTGATATTAATGAGGTGATTAGAAACCTTTTAAAGAGTAGTTTGGATCAAATAAGAGTCCTAAAAATAAATAAGTTGAAAAATCCTAAAAATAAGTACGTTGAAAATAGGTGGTGAGAATGAGAAGAATCAGTGCAGACAATTCATTGAAGAATCTTACACAGGAGAAATACAGATCTACAGCTAGAGGGGAGTTTAAAATGCATTTCAGCCTTATAATAATTTTACCATGCTTTATTTTCCACAATTCTGCTCTTTTAATAACTTAGATTTGGGGAAAATAGCCACCAGACTGCAACATCGCAAACTTTTGCTGTCTTCTTGTTGTTATTCAAGCTATGGGACTAAGCTCAGAAAATGGATCTGCTTCCCACACCAATGTTTGTGCATATTTAAGAGAGCAATGCTTAAGTGATGCACATGGATGCAAACATGCATGGAGAATAATGGAAGATGCCTGCAATGTTTCAGGTAAAACAAGTTGCTATAAATAAACTAAAATGGTTTCTTTTATCTAAGATAAAAATGAGATCTGATATTTTCTTCCACAATTCTAGAAACTAAGTTAATCTTCATGTTAAGTGTCTTACTTAATTTTGACATTCACTTAATCTACATTCCATCATATTCTGGTGAATTTCATTGCAAAAGAATATGATTAATTACTAACGGGCTCTGATTAACACTTAAGGCAGATGCAAAATTAAAGATTACATTTACTTGTTTTATCAAGAAAAATGCTCAGATGATATGTGTGCTTCTTAGAACCACAAATAAAATTCTTCAGATAAAATAGCATTCTGCTAATATGTCAATTTGTCAAGGACTAAAGAATAATGTTTGGGATAACCATTGCTATTTATTTGTACATTTATAATGTTTGTTCTTTATTCTTATCAAGTACACACTATTGTTCACTCCAATTCTGTCAAGAGTCATTTAAAACAAATTTTAAATTTTTAAATTATACTACATTCCAAATATTTGAAGGGAGTTTCAAGAAATGAAGAAAACAACGATTGAGGGGGAAAGTCTTACTATATAGTAACTGCATATATAGTAAATAAAATTTTACCAAATCATTCCCTGAATGGGGAATTCCTCAAAATGAAAATTGGAAATTGGGCCCATTTTCCTTCTCAGAGTCACGAGACCTATAACAAGACTCAGTACTGGATGAGCAGCAAAAGAAACTTGTATTGGCCAAGGGTAACAGAAGTGGGAAACAGACTAATAAATCAATTTCTTGACCTGTTGGGGAGTGGAGAAAAGAAATGAGGGGAGAAAGAGGCTAATAAAGTGAAGGACATTTATGTCTTTTCCTGGTATAGGTGGAGACTTCTCAGAACTCAGGCACCACATCTTTTCTCTCCTTTTATGGTGGGGTGCTTCTTATCATGGTGGCTTATAGGTGTGTTGCTCAGTATGAAAATTAGATTAAAATGAAATTAGAGGTCTGGGGAATCACTCTGGCAGCCATCTTGAATCTGAATGGTTTTGGCTAGCCCACTGAAGAGGAGCCTGTGGCCTTAAGACATTCTGTCCTCAAAGACAGACAAGATCAGGGTGGAAATTCAGCTAGGGCATGTAGGCAGTACAGTGGATAACAAAATCATTATAGTAAGGCTCCATTCACACAAAATACACATATTAAACTGATTATACAGGGGGACATTTTCTAGTAATGGCATGATAAAATTAGTTTTAAAATGCAACATTTTAACATAATGACAAATATAACCTTCTTATATTATGACTATTATAATATTCTAAATGCTGATGAATGTTGTGAAACATTCTGTAAGACAAATACTAAAGGGAAATTCAAAATGTATTTCTCCATGATTTTTTTTCATTTCTCCATTTTACAAAGATTAGATCACATACTGCTCATGACTCTTGACTATCCTCAAATGCTTCCTTTACCTCAGACTGCATTGTGTTAAAAAGTAGCAACCTACAGTTCTAACAATGCCCATGTGTACAATATCCATCAGCAGGCTTGGCCCAGCAACATGACCTCAGTGAATTATACAGAATGTGTAGGAAGGCAGACAGTTTCTGCTCTTGTGTGTCCTTGAGAAAGTACATGGACTATTCACACTGGAAGGAAAGTTATAGCTATCTAATCCAATATTCATATTTCTATTCAGGAAAAATAATTTGCTTAAAGTAATAAAATAATTTTAGGATGAAGACAGAGGACAACGAAATTTGTTATTTGTATTGATGATGAAACTCCTTGTTATATAAGGCAATTTAAAATGTGTTTCTAAAATATCACACTTCATGTGTCATGAATTATCACTTATTTATGTATTTTAGTATATAATGGCAAGACATTTGTGGTAGTTTGCAAAAATATTTGCATAATTATCCCATGCATGAAGATGAAATAGAAATATTTTCAAATTCACAGACAATATAAACTTAAGTGATTTTATCCAAAACAATGTATAAAAGAAAACTGGGATAGAGGAATATAGCTTTTTAAATTAAAACAGAAAATTAAATATTATGAGTTATAAAAGATTTGTTCAATAATAGTTATGGAGTGCTTATAAGTGCCAGGTTCACTTCATTTCTCAATAAATTTAGAGACACCTACATATATCAGAATGACATATAAAATAAAATAGCAGATTAAGACAAAATAGCTAATGAAGTATCTAAAATAACAGAATAGAAATCATTCTGGTGATTTCATAAAAGGACAGCTTTGAGTATTTCCGAAGTGCAAATATTGGCATTTTATGTCGGGACAAACTACTTTAAAATGCAGAAAGTTTCCATTTATTTTATGAAGTATGTTCTGGGAAAAGCACAGTAAAAATAGATATCTTGTGTAAAAAGTCATTTATTTGATCATCCTGCAACAACCTTATATAATCTTGTCATACTAAAGAATTACCCAGATAGGCATCTAGGTGCTTTAGGAGGCTTGGGGTGCAACTCAAAGGTTAAGCACCCCTGGGTTCAATCCCTGGCACTAAGTAAATAAATAAATTATAAAGTACTTTGGAGAAAAGGATCCAAAAGTTATGTTCATATTAATATCTGGAGTGTTATATTTTGATTGTTAAATCCAGGTGACCCTTGCACGATAAGTAATTTATCACACTGTAACCTGAGAATCCAGTCCTTTGTGGACAGCAATTTCCAGTTTAAAGAGTGTCTCTGCACAGATGACCTGTACTGTACTGTGAACAAGTTTCTTGGAAAAGAATGTGTCAATAAATCAGGTAATGCTTGTTCATCCAGGTCTTTGTTCCAAAGCTAAATCCTGCTAAATCATGACATATTATTCTTTTTTCTTATTGCAAGGTTTTGGATTGCTAATATTTTGCTGACATATCTATGTTCATGTAGTAGTATATTGGCATATTGTCTTGCCTTATAAGATCTTTAGTTTTGTTGTCTAACACTGGCCTCTTCAAATGAACTGAGAAGTGTTTCCTTCTCTTTCATATTCTGGAACAGTATACAAAGAGCTGGCATTATTTTTTTTTAAATTCAAGATTAAGTCAATCAACCAGTGAAAGTATCTAGGCTATTCTTCATTGGAAGTTCCAAGACACAAATTCAATGTACTTAATTGTTACAATACTAATTCAGTTATCTGTTTCTTCATGAGTGAGCTTTAGTAGTTGGTGTCTTCCATTTTATGGATTTTTATATTTAGAGTTTCTAATGAACTCTTTTTTTATTGCCATCTCTAAGTTGCTCCTCTAATATTCTGTTCTTTTTAATGTCTGTAGGAGTGGTAGTGATGTCCTCTCATTCATTCAGGTATTTATAATTTGTGTTCCTTCTTCCTCTTTTTCTTTTCTGATTTTGTCCTTTGTTGGCTCATTGTGTGTGTGTGTGTGTGTGTGTGTTTGTGGTGATTTTAAATTGTTCTTAATTTTCTATTTTCTTCAGATAAAAACTTGGATCATTGATCTAAGGTTTTCTTCTTTTCCTGACATGAATATTTAATACTATGAATTTCCTTTCAAGAACTGTCTTAGCTACACACACAAATTGTTATGCTATATTTTAATTTTTATTTAATTCAGAATATTTTCTTTTCTTTGGAATCTCCCATTTGACTCATGGTTTAGAAACTTGTTGCTTAATTTCCAAATATCTGGGATTTCCTAGGTGTCTTTCTTACTGATTTTAGTTTAATTTCCATCTCATCTGAAAACATATTTAATATGATTTCAATCCTTAATTAAAATGATGATTGCTGAATATCATTTGTACAATGTACTCTATTCTATATAATATTCATGCACATATTCACACACAATAAAAATATTCAAAGTCATATAGGAAGAAATAATGGTGACCCAGAAGGCTTCACAGAATTGCAGTCATAGATTGTTCCTCCAGTGGCTCAGGAGGCTGAGGCAGGAGGATCTCAAGTTCAAAGTCAGCCTCATCAACTTAGTGAGGCCCTAAGGCAATTCAGTGAGACCCTGTCTCTAAATAAAATATTAAAAAGGGCTGGAGATATGCCAGTCCTTAAGCACCACTTTGCAATTTTTATTTTATAAAAATATTTTAAAAAAATTGTGGCAGACATAGCCTTTTAGGGTGAACTGTGTCCTTTAGGGAGACAAACAAAATGGATTTTTAAAATAGAGGAAATACAATGAAGCAGAGCACATTTGGAGAGCAACAAATCTTTTGTTAAGTTGGATTGTAGAATGGAAAAATATTAGGATATAACGTTGGAAAGAAACCAGATGTTAATAAAAATGAGGCAAGCTGAACTTATAGCTTTCTAATGAGATTAGACTTTAAACCTTTGATATGAGGATCTGTTATCGATTTTAAACAGAGGAATGAAGAATCAGCTTTCCAAATGATAAGGTTGTAAGGCAGAAGATGGAATGGAAGGGAGAGAAAGATGCAAGCAGGATATAAATTAAAAAGCATCAAAATTTTGGTGGCTAGGCATCTGTTTTAGTTACCTTTTTCACTACTGTGACTAAAAGACCCTACCAGAAAAAACTATAGAGGAGGAAAAGTTTATTCAGGAGCTCACGGTTTCAGAGGTCTCATTCCACAGGAGGACAGCTTCATTCCTTAGGGCCCCAGGTGAGACTGAACATCATGGTAGAAGAATGTGGTAGAGAGAAGAGGTTCACATAATGATCAGGAAGAAGAGAGATAGACTAAGGTCAGCTCACCAAAAATATACCCCAAAGGAATGCCTCTAATGACTCATCTTTTCCAGCCCCACCCTACCCACCTTCAGTTACCTCTAAGTTAATCCCTATCATAGAATTAATTCACTTATTTGGTTAAGGATGTCATAATCCAATCATTTCACCATTAAACCTTCTTGCATTGTCTCACACATGAGCTTTTGGGGGACACCTCACATCCAAACCATAACAGTGTCACATGCCTAAACTAACACATGTGCTGAGAATTATAAGGAGAGGGGATATTTTAAGTATGTCTATGAGTTATAATTAGTAGGAACTGGTGACCAGCTGAATAGTGGGAGAAGAAAATGTACTAAACATGATATTCAAAGCGATTACAATGAAATAAAAATAAAGAAGAAATTATGGATTGGGAACAAAAATATCATTATATTTGGAAACATTTTTTTTCTGAAACATTCTTTGGAGCATTCAAATTAGGAATGTTTATAATTTTTTATGAAGTTTCCCATGCTAAAAATAAAATTGAAAATAAAGAAGTAATAGAACATGCCTTATTCAACTAGTATTTGGAAACAGAGATTTTGAGTTGAGAAGAAAAATATAAAATAGAGGCACAAATTTTGAAGTTAAAGACTTATGAGCAGATAAAAACACAAAGGAAAATAAATTCATTAGGAAAGGAGAAGTGAGAAGTGAGAAGAAAAGTATTTTCAGTAACAATGTCATAATCTAGTTAGAGAGACCAAAAGGAAGTTTTTAACGGTAGGAAAAGAAACTACTGTTAATTTTTTTAAACTAGTAAAAGAGGGGACCCAGAAAATAGTTAGCAATTAAAAGGAGACATTAAATAGGACAGGTCCTGTGAATGACATTAGTTTGCTAAATAGGGATCTCTACCAGTTTTAGATTGAATTAGTCAGAAATGTAAGCATGTTGAAATATTTATCAAAATATTGTTTTGTTTCAAGAAATTGAAACATTTCTATCTCGATCATCATTTATATCACACCAAGTTAGGATAAAATATTGCTATCAGTTAAGCACATATATACAAGTAGAGAGCAGTTAAAATGAAATCAACTATCATGCTAAAACCACTTTTCCCACATGGAATTTATTAAACCCTGCAATGTGGAAATATTGATAAACCAGTCCTACAAAAACCTTAGAACTATGAGATAGAAAAGAAGACCTAAACAATTTCACAAATGCACTTCATGATAGACCTGACTTGATTGTTAGGTTTGGAAGGCATATTCAAGGGATTGCTGATATTTCAGCTTAAAATAGTAAAGGAAATAAACACTGAAATTTTAGCATTCCTTCTGTATTAGCTGCAGCATTCTCCACGAAGCCTTGACCTCTCTTTCTTTCTTTTGCTTTACCAAAATGTTCCCCAGCATATACATATTCTTGGAAAAATTGGTTTTGGCATTTCTGTTTTTTTTTAATATGGTAAAACTCCCAATAAAGTTTCTGAAAGATAGAAAATGATCAATAAATATATGATGTAAATATTAAAATTCATTAACTATTTTGAGCATCTAAGTCTTGTATCTAAGATATTTTTTACTCAATTTATATATGTAGATGTTGTATAAACTCTGAGGAATATGATTCTAGATGAGATAGTCCCTGCTCTTGAGTATCTGACAACATTGAGCAAAATTTATATTTAGTCAGGATATTTAATTTAAAGTGGCTATATACATATACATATATAGTTATACTATATTTTATATACAAATTTTAATTATTTTGTTACAAATATTCAGTTATATTACAAGTATATATTATCAAATATGTTGACATTTAGGTAGCTTTACATTTTATTTCATATCAAAATATATAATTACCAATATAAGAGAGTGAATTATATCAGGGTAGCATTAAATTACCTACATCTTGTACATGAATGCCTGGACATGCTAGCTATTAGGGATTTAAGAGATGGTCTCTGTTCTTATTTAGGACTCTGATTTATAAAATATAATGATTCATTGTGAGGTCTTATTAGTAAAGGTGGAAAATGGTCGAGTAGCAAAAACACATGCACAATTGAGGCTGCACAGAGCTTAGCAGAGTGCAATGGAAGTTTGTACTTACACACTTTTATAACATGAAGGTGGTCATATTGTCTGTATCTTGCATAAGTATGAGGCATTTGAAAAACTAATGTGTGGGAACACTCATTTAATAGAAAAAAAATTTAACTTAAAAGTACAAGAAGAGCAGACATCCCGAAGACAAGAATGAATGGCTAGAGGAAGAATACTAAAGTCTCAGAAGCATTGCAGTAGAAGTCTTTTATTTATTTATTTATTTATTTATTTATTCATTCATTCATTCCCAGTTCTGGGTTTGAACACAATAGTGCTCTGCCATTGAGCTATATCCCCAGCTTTTACCCCCGCCCCCTCATTTTAAAATTTCAAAACAAATATTGCTAAACTGCTGGGTCTGGGCTTGAATTTGCTGTCCTTCTGCCTTGGCTTCCTCAGTCACTGAGATTACAGGCCTGCCCCACTACATATGACATGGAAGTCTTCTTGAAGTGCCTCAGAGGAAGGCAAGACATTTTAGAAGTACACAAAAAAAAAAAAAAAAAGCCTGTAAATCTACTAAGAATCTTGTGCTGAAGTTACTCTCCCTATCTTCTTCATATAAAATTTATACAATTCTAGGCTTATTGGGTCTTTCTAATGGAAGATGTGTTCTCAATGAAGGCAGTAGAACCACCAAGGGGCATAAATTGCTGTTGAGTATGGGCCAAAAAGTCTTACCTTACCATGTACAAGGTGTACGTATAGAAATTTTAAAATAGACAAACAGTATATCTACATAATTCATTTCATGAGGGACAGAGGAATTACAAAAAATGTCTAAATTGACTTTGCATGGATAGAGAAACACTTTAGTAAAGGCACATTTGTGGGAGAAAATGGAAATTCATAAAAATTTGTGTAAGAAATAATGGATTGCCTTGTACATAAGTTAAATGATTTTATTAACCATGAAGATGTAATGAAAAGACAGACAGTAAATGGAAAGGACAAAATACCATTAAAAATGAGCAT